AGACCAGGACGAAGGCCAGCCCTGCTGTAGCCACAGCTGGTGGCCTTGGGGTTTGCTGCTCAGCGATCTGGCACTCCACAGGAGATGCAGGACTTCTTCCCAGTCATGCTTGAAATGACAAGGAAATCCAGGTCAAAGTCTCCTTGCTGTGACTCCAGCAACGCTAGAGGCTTCAAAGCCCCTCAAACCTTTTCCTGACCCAACTTGTTTACTCACATCGGAGCCTGCACCAACAAACTCAAAGGCCTGCAAGGAGAGCTGGAGAACTTCAGGGGCTGCTCTTGGCAAGTAATGGGAGTTTGCCACCTTTCCCTCCACAAGGCACCTGGAACCAGAGAGACTGGTTAGCCCTGCAATCACCATAGCCAACATTCCACTTGTCCCCCACTTCCTTTGGCTGGAGCCAGCCCAAGGACATGCCAGTGGCATGTGTCCATGCTAAGCTTTCAGAGCTGCTCGACTGTCCCAACAAGTTTCCTTTGGCCTTTCCTGGCCTCACTACCAATCAATCTATAGCAGACAATGCCTAGACCTTCATGGTACTCACCCGTGGTTTGTGATAATAGTGTGCTTCCTCTGGGACTCATGCAGCTCTGGAGCCGCAGTGGCCACACACTCATCCACAAATATCTGCAGGGGCTGGTGGAAGTGCCTCGCCACAGCAAACCTGAGCTGGATGCGCGAGCCCAGCAGGAAGACCGGCGGGTCTGGTGGGACGCCGAGGTCTGTGGTCAGCGAGCACACAAGTTAGTGTTTGTTTGAACGAGTACTGGCAGACTGAACACGCTGTACTGGGACAAGCCACCTGCTTGGTGCCCTTCTAAGATCCCATGTTATTTTGAGGCTGGGGAGGATTTTCCCACTAACTCATTTTGAGGAGGGAGACACTTCCCACCCTGCGCAAGGCAGCCTGGTACCCATCCTCTTCACCTGTTTGCTTGAGGAAGATGCATCCCTGACCTAGAGCAAAGGGGACTCACATCCCGATAGATGCTTCAACAAGGCCAGTAATCTGCAAGTGTGAGGCTCTGTGGGAAGCCACTAAGAACTCTTCGGTCTTGAGGAGTCTCCTAGAAGTGCTGGGCACAGTCTGGCTGGCACAGCACTGCTGTGGCCAAGAGGGATGCTCTTACCATTCAGCAGGGTCACAGAGAGCGGCAGCACCCCCGAGGCAGAGAGCTGGCCCCTCACGGGGGCGGCCTGCACAGGAGGCGTGTGGTGTCCCCTAGGAGAGGGTCTCATTAGGGCAGCACATTCGGCACATCCTGGCTCCCCATCTCTGACTAGCCGATGGCAAGAAATTTGCCTGCACCAGCCCAGAACTCTTCCCAGCTCTCAGCTTCCCATCCCACCCTGAAGGATGTCCTTGGTGCCTTTCCCCGCCTTGGTCACATCCCAGACCTTGCCACAGGGCTGTTCTCCATATGTGCAGTGCAGAGGTCACAGCTGCTGCCCATGTGGCACCGATGGGACACCCAGGAACCAGAAAACCCAGGGACCTGCCCACCTACCCACGGCAAATGCAGCTGATCCTCTCAACAAACGGACTCGAATAGTAGCTGCCCTTGCCATAGGGTGGCCAGTACCGCAGGTCTGCAAAGTGCTCTACCAGGTCCCCAGATACCTGTGGGCAGCAGGGACAGCAGAGGTCAGAGCACCCCTTGGTCTCAGCTTCTCCACTGGGTGGGTTCCACCACTGCGTGGTGGCATCCCAAGATGGCTCATCCCCACTGAGCAGAGGGTTCAGGACCAGCCAGGATGCACATCAACCACCTCTATGACCAGCAAAGAGGTCAAAGGCCATCCAGGACTTGTCCTTTCTGGACAACCAGCCCGTGAGTCTGGGCTGGTGGCTCCAGTGTGAAGAGTCTCCACAGCCAGAGGAGCATCTTTCTTCTCCAGACCCTCTGAGAACACCCCTCCTTGATCCCCCGGGCTCCCAACTTCACCCACCAAAGCGTCCTGACTCACCAGGCGAGAGAAGCCGCACTCCTTCGTCTCATACTGGAAGCGCAGGAGACCCCGCTGGCTGTCGATGCCGGACGGGGGGCAGCTGCCCAGGCGCAGTGACCACGGGTCCAGCGTGAGCCCCTGTCCCCAGGGCTCCCACTGCACGGACAGGTCAACGCTGGCTCCATCACACTCGTAAGAGACCGAGCCCAGGGGTGCTGGGTGGAAGAGAGCACAGTGACACATGCACTGCTAGAGAAGTCCCCCAAAACCACCAATGGTGTTTTCAGGTTTTGACAGACACCCCAAAAGAGAAAGGGGAAAAGCAGGGAGGGAGCAGGAGCCACGGCAAGCAGGGATCCCCCTGCTGCCAGCACAGCCGTCCCTGCCAGGCCCGGGAGCCCCGGTGCCAGCTCCAGCCTCCAAGGAGGCCCCACGCACCTCTCCCAGCAGCGAGCAGCACCCTGCAGGCCATCAGCACCCCCAGGCACCCCCTGCACAGCCCCATAGCACCCAGGGCAGGGCCTGGCCCAGCACAGGCTATATAGGCACCTGCGCCGACGCATGTGGGCTCGGCCTCTGCGTGCCAGGAGCCTCACAGCTGCCGCGAGTTACCTGGTCTCTCCCTGCAGCCGGCGGCTCCCGGCCTGCAGGAAGGGCCATCCCCAGCCCATCAGGCCTGCTGAGCCCCTGGCGGGGGTTGGCTGCAGGCCTGGTGAGGCTGGTGGCTGCTTGGACTCCTCAGTGGGACGGGGGGAGAACAGAAAGCTGCATGGGAAGGCTGGGAAGCAGCAACATCGCTGGTCCCCGAGGCCTGGGGACACCAGCAGAGCAGCCCGCGGTGGCCGGGGGCCGGCACCGGCAGGGCCGAGCACCGGGCGCGCGTGGGGCCGCGCTGGCCGGGACGCTGGCGCCAGGGGGCCGCTACCAGCAAAGCACCGTGGACAGGGTGATGGCAGCTCCTGGCGTCTCTGGGGACAGGCGGGTGTCAGGGCCACGTCACGGTGCCTGGTGAGGGCTGGCGCTGGGGGCCCAGCGCGGCTCTGTGGGTCCCTGCCCTCCCTCCCCACACAGAAGAACGAGACCAACGTAGACCAGCTGGACGGTTCTTATATTAAAAACTGCCAAATATACAATACACTTATTTTACAAAAGTAGAATTGCTTTTTATTTCTCCTCCTTGCGAACAGAGCAGAACGGGACCCACGTGCCCTTCAGGGACTGGCGCTGGGGCTGCACGGGGCCACCAGCCGCCCCGAGGGGACCCTGCTGGCTCCATGGGCCACATCGCGCTGCCCGGGGGGGGCACTGGGGAGACTGGGGACGGGGCACTCTTGCTGCAGGGGGG